TGCGTAACGTCGTTGGTCGCCGACGAACCCATCCTGTTTAAAAACCACGCGAGGGGGTTAATTCGAAAAGCGCGGAATTGGTGCTTACCAGAATTCGGCGTCGAATTGGTCGCCCCCGGCGGTTTTTCGAGGCGATTTTTTCCGCGACCGCTGCTTAGCCGAGAGTCGTCGAGTGAGAACGGCTCTGATTACCAAGAGTCACAGGATCGAATTCTCAATCGAAAAGTTGTCACTAAAACTGAATACAAGGCCTATTTATACTCAGAAAGTACAAGGATAAACGAGATAAAACGAACCTTCGGGAACACACCCTTCCCGATACTACAATCACAAGTGCGCATAAGCACGCAAGGCTATTGGCACTTGGGATTACGCCCAGATTACATCGTATACACCACTGTCGGCGCTGTCGGTGCCGTATAATAGGTATGTCGGTGGGAAAAGTAGGAAATAAGAGAAATAAATAGAAGGCTCTAGAAAATAGAATAGTAGGCCGATTGAGATGAGATAAAGACCAAAATAAAGAGGAGAAAAGGGAGAATAGGATAACAGAAAAATATAATAGTGAGAAAATATTATAACGGGGACGTCCTCTCAAAGGCTTCCCGCGGTGCCCTTGCTGCTGATTCAGCTTCGTTGATGGAGCGTAGTGTGCCTGTGGAAGGAGCTCTGTGGGCTGTTCGGCCTCCTGCATCGCCTCATCTTGAAGGATGTAGCTGGTGATGGAGTCCTCGTCGAGGGACTCACGCGTGCCGAGCACCATCATCATCCTCTTCATGAGATTGTAGCCGCGCGACAGGCCCTTGACAATGTGGGTGATGTAGGACGCCGTCGAGTATTCAGCGCCCGCCATCCTCATCTCAGCTAGGATCTGTTGAGCTCGGTTGCAGTAGTCCGTCGCCGAAGCCTGCTCGCCCATACGAATGTGAGTCATCTTCTCCTCTAGCTGTCAGATGTACAGGTCGTCCCTGGCCTGGTACGTCGACAAGATGAAGTGCCACGCCTGGTGACCAGCATCTAGTCGCTCTTGACAGCTCCTGAGCGCTAGCTGCATCATCGGCGAGCATCACCTCGAGATGACCATGAAGGTGAGCAGGTGAGCAGAACGAAACTCCCTACGCAACTCGACATTCTCCTCGGGCGGAATTGGCACGGTGCCGTCGGCGAAGCCCTTCAGCCCGGCGACCTCCAGCTGAGGTTCGATCGACTCCCTCCAGGTGATGAGGTCCCGTTGACCTTGCAGCGGTGTGACGGTGATCCGGTCCGGCGAGAATTTGAAGTAGCCATACGCCAGTGCAATCCCGCCTGCAGTCACATGCGTCGTCGCCGAGAGCCCTCCACCACTTCGTAGAGGAGAGCGACGTCGAGCATCGACGTTGGCACACGAGCTGCCTGCGGCCGCCGTCGACCGCTGCACTCACGCTTGGATTCCGTCGACACCACAGTCGACCTTGATCACCCCTCTCTGCCTCGTGCCTTAGCTGTCGCTGACTCGTGCACCACCGTCGACCTCGTGGTCGACGCCACCTTCGTTGCGCACCGGTCGAGGAGAGGCAGGATGGGAAGGGTGTTCCGTCGCCCACTACGACCGGATGCCCAACTCGACGATCAACAAGGGGATCGTCCCGTACTCGCCATCCGCGTGGCGTTTCCTTGCATCAGCCAAGCGTGTCTCCAAGGTATCCGCTACACCCGCATCAGCTACGGGGTTGACCATGGTGACTATCGCTGCTGTCGGCCTACGAACGACTTAGTAGGTGCAAAAGTCGGCTCCTATATGAAGGTAATTTGCGGGGGCCGTCCACACTCACCGCACCATGCGGAGATACACTCTACAACCGTAGTGAGCTAGACTACGGGGGTTGGCACGAACTACTAGGAGTGATTGTAGATTTTCTTAGTTCCTTAGTGCTTGCACATTCACAGGAGAAATCGGCAAGAGTTTTCACTAGGCAAAGTCGAAATTACAGAATGATTTAACAAGCAATGGCAACAATGACTACATCAAGCACCTAGCAGCCCTGCAGCTAGCCTGGTCGACCGCCAGCACAGCTCGGTCGACCGCCTGCCAGCGTTGCGTAGAGGAGCCGCACCAGCACTGCGGAAAGGCGACCTGCCAACAGAGCAGGTCGACGGCGTGCCAACACTGCAATAGAGCGGCTGTCCAGCGTTGCCCCGTAGAACACAGCAGTACGCAAGCTCGCAGGTGCGCGCAGACAATTGGCCCGACTTGCCTCGTTGGGCATCCGTTGGCTATTGTCTGCGCCTGACGAGCCACATCGACTTCAGGATACCAGCCCGCAGTTGCCTTCGCCATCGCAACCTCGACGATGTTCGCGTGCCTCCGCAGAACTCGTCGAGCAGGTTACCCGGTCGACCCGCCCGACCATCTGGTGCTTCCGGTCGACCACCGGGTCCCTCTGGTTGACCACTAGGTGCCTCTGGTCCGACCACAGCTCCCGTCGAGATACCCCATGGTCGTCAGACCCTTCCCATCGACCAGAACAGTCAGCGGTTGTCGCCGAGCTCCCCTCGTCGACCGCTGCTCACTTGTCAGGTCGACAGACTGCTCCGTCGACCTCCCGGTCGAACTGCAGGTCGACAGACTGCTCCCGGTCGAGCTCCAGGTCGACGGAGACCCCCTGGTCGAGCTGCGGGTCGACGGAGGCCTCCCGGTCGAACGACCCCTCATGGACAACGGCCCACCTATCGCCCAGACCACTCAGTTGCAGCTGTCGAGCTCCCTGGTCGACAGCAACACCACAGCGGTCCCCTTCAGCTCGACGATGCCTGTCGAGCAGCTCTCCCACTGTGAATGGTCGGCTGCTACTCCCGTACATCCGACCAAGTCGTCGGCGTTGCCCAAGCGAGGGCGGGGCCAACACTCCATTCCCGTTAACAACGGTTCAATACAGTAACGACTCGGGCAGCTGCTCAATAGCGAGTCAGTTGTTTGTCCTTGCTGTCGCGCTGTATTTGTCAAGTCAAAGTCGCTGACTTTTGACCTTCGCGTAACCTCCAGCAGTTACTTCTCTTGTCAACCTCCGATGTTTGACTCGCCGTTGCTTCGTTGTAGCTCGCTTCGTTTTCAGCTTGCTGTTGCGACACATCAGAAGCGTTTAAGTTACTTGTTTCCAACAGTCTTGTCATATTACCAAGTCAGCAAGGGCGTGGGAGGGTTGCGAGCATCATCGGGTCGAAGCCCTACTTTCCGTGGAGTAACCCGTCGCAAAGAAAACCTCCGACAAGCCAATAATGAGGGCCACGAAGACCATAGACTCGATGGGGGAACACTAACACAAATGTATGGTGTATGGTTGCTGTATGGAGCATGCTGTAAGGAGAGAGAGCATGATTGCTTTGACCCTAGATTTCCGTAACGCTAGTGGGCCTGCAACGCCTGCTACGTTAGTTGTCCAATTTTATAACTGATTTCTTTACACGAGACAACATGAGTAAGCTGAAACAAGACCGGTTTGAGGCACTAAGAAATTAACACTTCATACAGCATAAAGGCGTGTAAATGATTCACAGAAGAACACGGCAGTAGAAAGGCCGACGGCCCAGTGCTCTCAGGGCTCAGGGCCTCGTGAGAGCTCATAGACGGCTCCAGAGAAAATGGATGTACGGTACTTGAGTTCTCCTGTAGAGTGCTAGATCGTGCATGCAGCAGACACATGAGCAAAACAGCTCAAAGCCGGTTGCAGAAGAGATGGCATACTTGAGTTTATCCCGAAGCGTGCTGGCTCGGGCAGGACGCATGCAGAAGACACATGGAGCAAACAGCTCCAATGGCTACACTCTCAGCACTTATGACAATTCAAAGCCGGTACCAGAAGAGATGGCGTACTTGAGCTTATCCCGCAATGTGCTGGCTCGTTGGTAGGTGGGCAGCTGCGTGGGGGAGGGTTGGACAGGAGTTGGGGGAGGGGAAGAGGAAGTAACATTGTACAAGAGTTTATCACGCAGTCTGCTGGCTAGTTGGTATGTGGGCAGTTGTGGCATGGGGTACAAGGAAAGTCATTCAGTGAAAGGCATACTCAGATCGTGAGATCCAAGGATATAGAATTAGAGAGATATAGAATAAGAGAAGGAAAGATGACATTACGGGGTTGCGATACTGGAAAAGAGGTGACAACCAAGTGGTCAATCGTTACCTTGAGCCGATTGTTGAGAATTCTTAAAAATCGCTCACATTGAGCCGCTTGTAGAGCAGCGGAAACAAGAGCTACCATTGTAGCTCAACAAAAACAATGACTACCTTGAGCAAGTTGTAGCAGGCTGTAGCGCAGCAGGAGCAATGATTACCTTGAGCAGGCTGTAGCACAGCAGGAGCAATGATTACCTTGAGCAGGCTGTAGCACAGCAGGAGCAATGATTACCTTGAGCAGCTGTAGCACAGCAGGAGCAATGATTACCTTGAGCAGGCTGTAGCACAGCAGGAGCAATGATTACCTTGAGCAGGTTGTAACAGGTGGAAGCGGTGGGAAGCCAGTCCACATCGGGCCCTCCTAGTGTAGCCCACATGGACGCATCCACGTTGACCTGATAGCGAGGCGAGTTATATGGGGTACAAAAACACACGCAGCATGAAGCAGAGGGCAAGTGCTAGCAGTGGGTAGCCAGTCCACGTCAGGCCCTCCCAGTGTTGCCCACATGGACGCATCCACGTTGACCTGATAGTGAGGCAGGCTATATGGGGTACGAATGAAACACATTCAGCATGAGCCATGGGGCAATAAGCAGCGATGCCCTCCTAGCTTAACCCATATGAGCGCGCCACATTCACCTGATAGCGAGGTCACACGCTACAGTTCACTGTAATCACAAACCATTCACCTTCCAGTCACATTTGTTGATAGTCACACCTACCTTGTGGATGGTGAGGGGCGGGTTGAGATGCTTAAAGCCCAGCAGCGGGGGTCGCGAGCAACTTGTCACGAATTTAAGCAGCTGGCTCTTCTCCTCCCTTGATAACTCCTTCACCACCTGTTGTGATGTTATACGATGAGACAGTGGCATGGGAATGGGAGAGGGAAGCAAGGCGAGAGAGGAAAGGAGGATTCATGTGAGCAGCTGGTGACGAATCTGAGCAGCTGGCTCTTCTCCTCCCTTGATAGCTCCTTCACCACCTGGTGTGATGGTGATACATGGGGAGAAAGGCAAGACAGCCGAAAGAGATGAGGGGAGCAAAGGCAAGAAACTACTCTCGGTCGCTCTCTGTGTATCCCCCCGGATATCTTGTTTGTTGAAGCAACGGCAACTATTGCACAATGATTCACGGAAACCAACCACGCACCTCCCAGAACATGTGGATGGTCTGGTCGCTCTCCGTGTAACCCCTTCCATTATCTCATGAATGAAAATTGTAGGTACTCACTCAGTTATTCGCAGAACAAAATCACGCACCTCCCAGAACATCTTGATGGTGCGGTCACTATCCGTGTATCCCCCCGAGTATCGCGTGTGCTCTGTACGCAGGTTCACAGTCCATGTAACAATGTTGCACAGTAACCAAACACGCACCTCCCAGAACATGCGGATGGTGCGGTCGCTCTCCGTGTATCCCCCAGAGTACCGCGTGTGGGCCTTGATTGAAGGTAAACAATACATACAACGCCAACGCACAAGCCAACCACGCACCTCCCAGAACATCCTGATGGTTCGGTCGCTCTCCGTGTATCCCCCAGAGTACCGCGTGTGTGCCTTGAGATCCTCCACGTCCACGTCCTGCTCTCCTCCCGACAGCAGCTGCAAGCAAGCACATAGAGACAGGCAGAGTAGACAAATGCATGTATTGGGCTCGAGACTTAGAGAGCTTGCAGTGTAGACAGCAGTGCCCTGAGATCCTCCACGTCCACGTCCTGCTCTCCACTTGACGGCAGCTGCTCATACACACAAACATGAGGCATGGAGATTGGGCTTGAGGCACAGAGATTGGCCTTGAGGCACAGAGATTGGCCACAAGTAACGGCTCCGTGTCCCCCCCCAGGATTGCGTGTGTGCCCTGAGATCCTCCACGTCCACGTCCTGCTCCTCGCCTGATAGCAGCTGCTCACGCACACAGACATGAGACACAGAGATTTGGACATGAGAAACTGCTTCGAGTATCTCGTGTGTGTGCCTTGAGATCCTCCACGTCCATGTCCTGCTCTCCGCCTGACAACAACTGCTTGGGGAGCGGAGCACACACAAGACACAGGCACACACAGGAGGCAGGAAGGCACATTGGGGAGACAACATCACAGAAGCACACACAGCAGAGAGCAGACACGTTGGGCTCCAGGCTTGGATATACCGCCTTGAGATCCTCAACATAATCGTCCTGCTCTCCTCTTGACAGGAGCTGCTCAATGAGATGGAGAGAGTATAGATTGGGGTTTTGAGGCACAGAGATCAGGCTGAGAGCTGTGTGCCTTGAGATCCCTCCACGTCCACATCCTGGTCCCTGCCTGACAGCAACTGCTCACACAGAGAGTTACATAGACACATGCACCCAGAGTCATAGACACAGACCGCAGAAGCAAACAAAACACTCTGTTGCTATCTCCTGTGGTGTGGACTCAACTGTTTACTTGCTACCTTGTGTGTTCCAAGCTGTTCTGTTGCAATCTCCTGAAATCTCACCTGGTTGAACTCCTTTGGACTGAACAGCCGCAGCCACTCGGGCTGAATCAGATCTGAGAGGCCCCTTAGGAATGCTGCTACCACTGCTGCCATCTGCCAGTGTGTGCGGGGGGATGGGGGAAGAGAACAGACAGACTTATGAGTTGTCTCAACAGCCGCAGCCACTCTGGCTGAATCAGATCTAAGAGGCCCCTCAGAAACGAATGCTGACATTGATGGTGTGTGGAACGAAAGAAATACCCATTGGCCATTGATGGTTTTGCCTGAACTCTTTCTTAATGGTATAGCGTGCACTGAGTCACACTGTCACAACAACATGGATGCACTGCGGACTTTCCTCACCGGCCCCAGCTGAAACAACCTAAGAACTGCCGATTACATCAAAAGCAGCATGAATGTACTGCAGGCTGTTCTCACTCACTGGTCACTGCTGAATTCACCTCACCTCTGTTGAAACCACCTGAGAACTCACCTGACGGTTGAGCTTGTAATCTGCCACGGCATGGATGTACTGCAGCTTGTTCTCATTGGTCACAGTTGACTCCACCTGACCACTGTTGAAACCACCTGAACTATCACCTGACGGTTGAGCTTGTAATCCGCCACGGAGTGGATGTACTGCAGCTTGTTCTCATTGATCACTGCTGCTTTCACCTGAAGTCTCACCTGACGGTTGAGCTTGTAATCAGCAACAGCGTGGATATACTGCAACTTGTTCTCATTGGTCACTTCTGCAACCACCTGGACACTGCTGCTTTCACCTGAGAACTCACCTGACGGTTGAGCTTGTAATCAGCAACAGCTTGAATGTACTGCAGCTTGGTCACTGTTGAGTTCACCTGACCACTGTTGAAACCATCTGAGAAATCACCTGACGGTTGAGCTTGTAATCAGCCACAGCATGGATATACTGCAGCTTGTTCTCATTGGTCACTGCGATGTGGCTGCCGCCCGGCCGCAGCTCCACGATATTGTGCTCGCCCAGCACCTCCTCAGTCACTGTGAAGTCCAATGCCAGTTCAGAGGCATCCCCCTCATAGTGCTGAGGAATGGCAAGATGTAAGCAGGGGAGCGGGAGAACAGAGGGCGAGTAGACAAGGGTTGACGGCCGCAGCTCCACAATATTGTGCTCTCGCAGCACTTCTTCAGTCACTGTGAAGTCCAATGCCAGTTCTGATGCATCCCCCTCGTAGTGCTGTGGGAAGAGACAGGGGGGTAAGGGGAAAGGGATGGTGCATTGGTCACCGCGATGTGACTGCCGCCCGGCCGCAGCTCCACAATATTGTGCTCTCCCAACCAGCACTTCCTCTGTCACAGTGAAGTCCAGAGAAAGTTCAGAGGCGTCCCCTTCATAGTGCTGAGGATAAGTTGAGAGATGAGGAAGGAGGGGGAGAGACACATGGGCTGGAGGCTGGAGGCCACAGCTCCACAATATTGTGCTCGCCCAACACTTCTTCAGTAACCGTGAAGTCCAATGCCAGTTCAGATGCGTCCCCTTCATAGTGCTGCAGGAGGTAGCAGGAAGTGGCAGGGGGTAAGGAGAAAGGGATGGTACATTGGTCACGGCGATGTGACTGCCGCCCGGCCGCAGCTCCACAATATTGTGCTCTCCCAACACCTCCTCTGTTACCGTGAAGTCCAGAGCCAATTCAGAGGCATCGCCTTCATAGTGCTGCATGGGGAAGGAGAAGAGGAAGGAGGGTGACAAGGGGACAGGCAAACAAAGGTTGGGTGCACGCCGCAGCCCCACAAAATTGTACTCTCCCAACACCTCTTCAGTCACTGTGAAGTCCAACGCCAGTTCAGATGCATCCCCCTCGTAATGCTGCGGGAAGAGGTGGAACAGAGGGCGGATAGACAAGAATTGACAGCCGCAGCTCCACAATGCTGTGCTCTCCCAACACCTCCTCTGAGGCATCCCCTTTGTAGTGCTGCGGGAAGTGGCAGGGGGGTAAGGGGAAAGGGATGGTGCATTGGTCACCGCGATGTGACTGCCGCCCGGTCAAAGCCCCCAGCACCTCTTCAGTCACCGTGAAGTTGAATGCCAGCTCGGATGCATCCCCTTCATAGTGCTCTTAAAAGACTTTCTCTGTGACTGCGAAGTCTAGTGCAAGCTCAATAAGGAGGAGAAGGGAGACATGGGCTTCTCTCATGGCAGCTCCCCTCGCTACCTCACACCCACCTTCAGGCACATGAGGTTGCGATACAGCTCCTTATCCAATGAAGAGAGCTTGTCCAGGAACGAATATCTCCTCCTGAACAATCAATGTGCGTCACACACCAGTGCGCGGTCAAGCCACAACCCACTTTGAGGTACTAGAAATGGTAATGGTAATGGTAATGGTAATGGTAATTGTGATTGCAATTGTAATGGTAATGGTAATGGTAATAGTATTTGTAATAGTAATGGTAATGGTAATGATAGTGGTAGTGGTAATGGTAACGGTAACGGTAACGGTAACGGTAACGGTCATGGTCATGGTCATGGTAATGGTAATGGTAATGTATGGAAATGGTAATAGTAATGGTAATGGTAATAATGTTAATAGTAGTAATGGTAATGGTGGTGGTAATGGTAGCTGTAATGGTAATGGTAATGATAATGGTAATGGTAATGAGAATGGTAATGGTAATGGTGATTGTAATGATAGTGGTAATGGTAATGGTAGTAATGATGGTAGTAATGGTAATGGTAATTGTAATGGTAATGATAATGGTAATGGTAATGATAGTAATGGTAATGGTGGTGGTAATGGTAGTTGTAATGGTAATGGTAATGATAATGGTAATGGTAGTGGTAGTGGTAGTGGTAGTGGTAATGGTAACGGTAACGGTAACGGTAACGGTAATGGTAACGGTAATAGTAACGGTAATGGTAACGGTAATGGTAACGGTAACGGTAATGGTAACGTTCATGGTAATGGTAATGGTAATGGTAACGGTAATGGTAACGGTAATGGTGACGGTTGTGCTAATGATAATGATTATGGTAATGGTAATGGTAACAGTAACGGTAACGGCAACGGTAACAGTACCGGTACTGGTAACGGTACTGGTTCGGTAACTGTGATGGTAACGGTAACGGTAACGGTAACAATAACAGTAATGGTAACGGTCATGGTAATGGTAATGGTGATTGTAATGCTAATGGTAATGGTAGTTATGATGGTAGTAATGGTAATGGTAATTGTAATGGTAATGATAATGGTAATGGTAATGATAGTAATGGTAATGGTGGTGGTAATGGTAGTTGTAATGGTAGTTTGTAATGGTAGTTGTAATGGTAATAGTAATGATAATGGTAATTGTTATGGTAATGGAAATGATAGTGGTAGTGGTAGTGGTAGTGGTAATGGTAATGGTAACGGTAACGGTAACGATAATGGTAATGGTAACGATAATGGTAACGATAACGGTAATGGTAACGGTAGTGGTAACGTTAACGGTAATGATAACGTTCATGGTAATGGTAATGGTAACAGTAATGGTAACGGTAATGGTGACGGTTGTGCTAATGATAATGGTTATGGTAATGGTAATGGTAACAGTAACGGTAACAGTAACGGTAAATGGTAACGGTAACGGTAACAGTAACGGTAATGGTAACGGTCATGATAATGGTAATGGTAGTAATGGTAATGGTAGTAATGGTAATGGTGGTGATAATGGTAGTTGTAATGGTAATGGTAATGGTGATTGTAATGCTAATGGTAATGGTAGTTATGATGGTAGTAATGGTAATGGTAATTGTAATGGTAATTGTAATGGTAATGATAATGGTAATGGTAATGATTTTAATGGTAATGGTGGTGGTAATGGTAGTTGTAATGGTAGTTGTAATGGTAATGATAATGGTAATTGTTATGGTAATGGTAGTGGTAGTGGTAGTGGTAATGGTAACGGTAACAGTAACGGTAATGTTAATGGTAATGGTAACGGTAATGGTAACGGTAACGGTAATGGTAACGTTCATGGTAATGGTAATGGTAATGGGTAACGGTAATGGTGACGCTTGTGCTAATGATAATGGTTATGGTAATGGTAATGGTAACGGTAACGGTAACGGTAACGGTGACGGTCTCGTAACGACACTGGTCCGGTAACGGTAATGGTAACGGTAACGGTAATGGTAACGGTCATGGCAATGGTAATGGTAATGGTAACGGTAACGGTAATGGTAATGGCAATGGCAATGGCAACGGCAACGACAACGGTAATGGTAACGGTAACGGTAACGGTAACGGTAACGGTAATGGTAACAGTAACGGTAACAGTAATGGTAATGGTAACGGAAATGGTAACGGTAATGGTAACGGTAATGGTAACGGTAACGGTAAGGGTAACGGTAAGGGTAACGGTAATGGTAATGGTAACGGCAATGGTAACGGTAATGGTAACGGTAATGGTAACGGTAATGGTAACGGTAATGTTAACGGTAATGGTAACGGTAACGGTAATGGTAACGGTAACGGTAACGGTAATGGTAACGGTAATGGCAACGGTAATGGTAACGATGATGGTAACGGTAATGGTAACGGTAACGGTGATGGTAATGGTAACGGTAATGGTAACGGTAATAGTAATGGTAATGGTAGTGGAGTCTTGCCCACGATGGTGCACCTCAGTCACGACTCCACTCACTTTTACACCCACCTTCAGATACATGAGGTTGTGGCACCCACCTTCAGCTCCATGTCCAGCGATGAGATCTCGTCCAAAAAGGCATATCTCTTATGGAATGTGCTTGTACAGGGCTGTGCTGCCCACTATGTCCCCTTGCTACACTCACACCCACCTTGAGGTACATGAGGTTGCGGTACAGCTCCACATCTAGCGATGAGAGCTTGTGCAAAAAGGCGTATCTCCCACTAGGTCCAACGCGGGTCCCATGCTTATGAACACGCCACCGCCACACCCACCCTCCCACCCACCTTCAAATACATGAGGTTGCGATACAGCTCCATATCGAGAGAAGACAGCTCGTCCAAAAAGGCGTATCTCCCCACGAGCTTCGACACAAAGAGCGGGCGAAGTTGTACTCAAGCAGAATCCCCTCGTAGAGAGCCTTGCCCACGATGCGGCCGAGAAACTCCACCATGGGAATGCCGTGGCCCAGCGCCGCTGCTGCCGGGTGTGGATACAGGTAACCCTCTTCTGTGGCCGCCTGGAGGAACAGGCCGTAGCTGGGGAGAGCAGGGAGGGAAGGGAGGGAAGGGAGGGGAAGGGAGGGAAGGGAGGGAAGGGAGGGAAGGGAGGGAAGGGATGGATGAAGAGAATAACCTAAACTCCAACACGATGCGGCCGAGAAACTCCACCATGGGAATGCTGTGGCCCAGCGCTGCTGCAGCCGGGTGCGGGTAGAGGTAACCCTCTTCTGTTGCTGCCTGGAGGAACAGACCGTAGCTGGGGAGAGCAGGGAGGGAAGGGAGGGAAGGGATGGATGAAGAGAAGAACCTAAACTCCAACTCGATGCAGCCCAGAAACTCCACCATGGGAATGTCGTGACCCAGCGCTGCTGCTACCCCAGCACAACGGTTGTTGAGCAGAGGGGAAAGGGAACAACTGTTCGGCTTGGTTCAAAGGGCTGCAATACGTGAAGATTACGCTTCGAGCAGAGGGGGAAAGCGAACACCTGTGCGTGTTCGTCACGGCACCGACCGCTCATACGCTGCACCGCCCGCTCATACGCTGCACCACCCGCTCATACGCTGCACCGCCCGCTCATACGCTGCACTGCCCGCTCATACGCTGCACCGCCCGCTCATACGCTGCACCCGCTCATACGCTGCACCGCCCGCTCATACGCTGCACCGCCCGCTCATACGCTGCACCGCCCGCTCATACGCTGCACCGCCCGCTCATACGCTGCACCGCCCGCTCATACGCTGCACCGCCCGCTCATACGCCGCACCGCCCGCTCATACGCCGCACCGCCCGCTCATACGCCGCACCGCCCGCTAATACGCCGCACCGCCCGCTCATACGCCGCACCGCCCGCGTCATACGCCGCCCGCCCTCATACGCTGCACCGCCCGCTCATACGCTGCACCGCCCGCTCATACGCTGCACCGCCCGCTCATACGCTGCACCGCCCGCTCATACGCTGCACCGCCCGCTCATACGCTGCACCGCCCGCTCATACGCTGCACCGCCTGCTCATACGCTGCACCGCCCGCTCATACGCTGCACCGCCCGCTCATACGCCGCACCGCCCGCTCATACGCCGCACCGCCCGCTCATACGCCGCACCGCCCGCTCATACGCCGCACCGCCCGCTCATACGCCGCACCGCCCGCTCATACGCTGCACCGCCCGCTCATACGCTGCACCGCCCGCTCATACGCTGCACCGCCCGCTCATACGCTGCACCGCCCGCTCATACGCTGCACCGCCCGCTCATACGCTGCACCGCCCGCTCATACGCTGCACCGCCCGCTCATACGCCGCACCGCCCGCTCATACGCCGCACCGCCCGCTCATACGCCCACCGCCCGCTCATACGCCGCACCGCCCGCTCATACGCCGCACCGCCCGCTCATACGCCGCACCGCCCACTCATACGCCGCACCGCCCGCTCATACGCCGCACCGCCCGCTCATACGCCGCACCGCCCGCTCATACGCCGCACCGCCCGCTCATACGCCGCACCGCCCGCTCATATGCTGCACCGCCCGCTCATACGCTGCACCGCCCGCTCATACGCTGCACCGCTCGCTCATACGCTGCACCGCCCGCTCATACGCTGCACCGCCCGCTCATACGCTGCACCGCCCGCTCATACGCTGCACCGCCCGCTCATACGCTGCACCGCCCGCTCATACGCTGCACCGCCCGCTCATACGCTGCACCGCCCGCTCATACGCTGCACCGCCCGCTCATACGCTGCACCGCACGCACACCCACTGCATTGCACTGCACAACCTACCAATTCAAAGTGTCACCTGCCACTCAATGTGCGACCTGGCCCAACCAAGCACCACCTGCCCCAGGTGCCACCACCTGCCCCAGGTGCCACCACCTGCCCCAGGTGCCACCCGCCTGCCCCAGGTTTAACCTACCCCCCGGTCGAAGGCTGCTTTAGCAAGGTCAATGAAAAACTCTTTAAAGAGTCCGCTCTGGTCCATTCCTATCTCGACGTCACATGCACCACCTGTCCCAGGCGCCACCACCTGTCCCAGGCGCCACCACCTGTCCCAGGCGCCATTAACCCCTAGTGCCACGTACCCCGGGTCAAAGGCTGCCTTAGCAAGGTCAGTGAGGAACTCTTTGAAGAGTCCGCCCTGGTCCATTCCTATCTCCTCCGCTCCAAACGCATTCACAAATGAGACACGCACACGTCCCTGTGAGGTGTGTGAGTGGAGTAGGTCAAGAGCGCGAGAGAGGAGAGAAGTGGAAAGGTGGGAAGCGCAGCAGGAGGAGGGAGCAATGGAGGGTCCGCCCTGGTCCATTCCTATCTCCTCCAAACGCGTTCATGAAGAAGACATGGACATGGCCCTGTGAGATGGAAGGACAGAGATGGAGGGGCAGAGATGGAGGGGCAGAGATGGAGGGGCAGAGAAAGTGAGAAATAAATGGACATGGACATGGCCCTAGGGGGAGAGTCCGCCTAGGCTCTGAACGCATTCACAGAGGAAACACGGGCCTGTGAGGTGGTGGTGGTGGGGGAGAGATAGGGGGAGGAATGAAAGAGAGAGCAACACAGAGCATGACACAACGTGGCAGAAGCTTCCCCACAGTGCCACCTTGATCATGGCCGTATCATACACCCCCTCCTCCCTCCCCCCACCTTAACCACGGGCCACAGCTGGTTGAGGCGCACTAAGGCATCCTCCGCCAGCAGGTGACGCCGCACCGACACGTCACATGCCCACCTGTTGCATGCATGGGTAACCCTCAGAAGCTTTTGAGTCGACTCAAAAGTCACCTCGTCACACGCCCACCTGTCGCATGCATGGGTAACCCTCAGAAGCTTCCCCTCAAGTGATACCTTGAGCATGGGGCCGAGTAGGTTCAGTCGCATCCTCGACAAGCTGGTCGACTGGACTTGTGACATTCTCAGCGCGCCGCACGGCGGACACGTCCACCACCGGCCCGCATGGGGACAAGCAGGTCGCGCCGCACGGCGGACACGTCCACCACCGGCCGCACCGCGGGTGGGTGGGTGGGTGGGTTGAGACCGCACTGTGCCCTGCCTGGGAGTCACCTCAGTCAGTGCCTTGCAATGCTACTGCTCCCTCTCGTCCCTCGTTGGTACCTTGAGCATAAGGCCAAGTTGGTTCAATTGCACAAACGCGTCTTCCACCAGTAAGTCCCGCCGCACGGACACGTCCACCACAGGCCACACCATGCCCATCCCATGCCACACCTTGTCACTCCCAAAGCGGCTTCCTCTCAGTGATACCTTGAGCATCGGTCCGAGTTGGTTGAGGCGCACGAACGCATCCTCAACTAGCAAATCCCGCCGCACTGACACGTCCACCACGGGCCGCACCATACCCATGCCAGGGGTAGCCCCTAGTCCATGCCGCGCCTTGTCTGCTTGAATCAGCTCCCGGAATATGTACACTCTGAGAGAAGACAGAGGGGAGAGCACGAGGGACAGCCAAAGGAGGAGTGGAGAAGAGGGACAGGAGAGGGTTTTGAGGCTGTCACACCAACCCCGTGCCTCTCCTCGTCTGCTTGCATAAGCTTCCACGAGCAGAGCGGGTCGCGCCGCACGGACATGTCCACCACGGGCCGCACCATGCCCATCCCGGGGGTAACCCCTAGTCCATGCCGCACCTTGTCCGCCTGAAGAAGCTCCCTGAATATGTGCACCCTGTGGCAAGAGAAGCGGGGCATGGGGGCCACAAGAAACAACGGAATGGGGAGTGGGAAGAGGGACAACCACACGGGACGTCCACCACAGGCCGCACCGTGCCCATCCTGGGGGTAGCCCCTAATCCATGCCGCGCCTTGTCCGCTTGAATGAGCTCGCGGAATATGTGCACCCTGGGATGAGCGAGGTGAGACATGGGGGGCACAAGAAAAAGCCGAATGGGGAGAGGGAAGAGGGACAGGGCAGCCGCACAGACACGTCCACCACTAGCCGGACTGCCCATCCGGGAGGTACACAAGTAACACCTAGTCCATGCCATGCCTTGTCCGCCTGAATGAGCTGGCGGCGGGTTATGTGCACCCTGAGAATTGATTCCAGGAGACCCGAAGAAAGAGTGGGGAAGAAGGGCAGGTAAGGGGTTTGAATCTGTCACACCAACTCCGCGCCTCCTCTTGTCACGAGCAGAGCAGGTGGCGCCTAACAGACAAGTCCACCACGGACCGCACCATGCCCATTCCGAAAGTCACTCCCAACCAGAGCCGAGCCTCACCTTGTCCGCCTGAATGAGCTCGCGGAATATGTGCACCCTGGAGCACAAAGGAGAGCAGAAGAGCGACGGATGAGGGCTTCGAGCCTGTCACGCCTGTGCCATTCCTACATTTCAAATACATCTATTGTAGCTCTTCCCCCCACCCTCCCTCCCCCCCATCCCTACATTTGTGAACACAGCTCGCACCTCTTCTCAAACGGGAGCACGTGGGGCAGCGTGCGCAGCACTGCCGCCATCGCAGACCCACTCTGCTGCTCCTTCCCCTTCTCCGCGCCTCCTCTCCCTCTCCCTCCTCCCGCCATCATCACCCCCCCATCTCCTCCAAGTTCCCCACCTCCGCCTCCTGCCCCCCCGCCCATGCCTAGTTCCCCCATCCACTCCCCCATCTCCCAGTCCTCCTCCCCTCCCCCCATCATTCCCCCCATCCCCCCTCCCCCCTCGCCCCCAACCCCATGGTGTCTGGCTGCGCCTGCAGGGAGGGAGGGGGGATAGTGGAAACATGGGAATGGAGGAAGGAGGAAGTGAGTGAAAAATACTACTCTGCATTTTTGGAAGTGAGTGAAACATGAAATACCAACGTTCCCTCCATCCATCATTCCCCCCATTCCCCCTCCCCTCCTCGCCCCACACCCCATGGTGTCTGGCTGTGCCTGCAGCGGTGGGAACAGCAGGGGAAGGAAGAGAGTCGGAACGGAAGAGAAGACGGGGAGCAATGAGCTCAGGGAGTTTTTGAGAATTCTCAAAAACTCCCTGAAAACGGGTAGCAATGAGCTCACAGAAAAGGGGAGCCAGAGGGAGGGCTCGCAGAGGGAGGAGGCAGCGAGGAGGAGAAAGGGAAAAGGGACGTGGAACCACCAGGGAAAAGGGACGTGGAACCACCAGGGAAAAGGGACGTGGAACCACCAGGGAAAAGGGACGTGGAACCACCAGGGAAAGAGTACAGTACCCACCTGCTCGCCCAACATACCTGCTGCCGAGATGACAGGTGGTGGGCGGCGGTCAGCCGGGGCCAGCCAGAGGGAAGGCTCGCAGAAAGCTCTTCTGCAGTCGCGGTCGTGCAGAGGGAGGAGGCATCGAGTGGCTGCTTCTAGTAGAGCGGATTGTTCAATGACTTTTACCTGCTTTTGAACATCTAGGCCCACCGTAGCACATAATTGGGCTCGTATGTACCTGCTGCAGAGATGACAGGTGGTGGGCGGCGGTCAGCAGGGGCCAGCCAGAGCGAAGGCTCACAGAAGGCTCGTCTACAGTCGCGGTCGTGCAGAGGGAGGAGGCAGCGCGTGGCTGCTTCTAGTAGCGTGGATTGCGAAGGGGTGAGCGGGGAAGAGGCGGAGGCGGATGAGGAAGAGGAGGGGGACGGGGAGGAGGAGGAGGGGGAGGAGATGAGTGTGTTGTAAACGAGAGTGTTGAGTGTTGCTGCGATGACTCTTTGCTCGGAAAGAGAGAAGGGGATCTGAGGGAAGAGGGGAACACGGGACAAGGAAGAGGAGGGATACGGAGGGAAGAGGGGCAGGGGCAGGCAGACAAGTGGGAGGAGATGAGGGTGCTGTAGACTAGGTTGCTGACAGGCAAGGGAGTGGGTATAGAAGGAGGAGAAGATGATTTTTGCATGTTGCAGGCAAGGGTGTTGTTGTGTATGGCTGAAATGACCTGCTGCTCTAAAAGAGAAAGGGATCTGAGGGACAAGGTAAGCCAAACCACCCCACCACACAGCACCGCACCCCACCGCACAGCACCGCACAGGACCCACCACCCCACTGTGCAGCACCGCACAGCACCCACCTGTCTCTGGTAGAACTCCTCATCATCCAGCACGAGCAGCAGGTGGGCATACGCCCTGCAGAACACCGTCATTACCACTGCCACGTCAGCCGCCACCCCTGCCACCCCCTTCTTCATACTCTCCACATCCCACCGCTCTCCTCCTCCCTCTCCCCCCTCTCTTCCCTCGAATCCCCCAGTTCCCGCTCCCACTCCCCCCTCCTCTCCTCCTTCCTCTTCCCCCTCGTCAATATCCTCTTCCATATAGTCACCTGTCTGGGTCTCCCAAAACGTCCTCCCGCCTCCCTCTCCCCCTCCTCTTCCTCTGCGCCCTCTCTGTGCCTCTGCTGCGCGTCTCTGGAACGTGGAGGAGAGAAAGGTGGACCACTGCTGTGCTGCCGTTGACCCTGGTTGACTTGATTGACCAGCCTGCCGCCCACCAATGAATGCAGCCAGCGCAGCATCATCATCACCCGCACTCCCGGGCGGCCTTCCCTGGCCGGCAGAATCTGTCTGCATGTGGTCAACGCCCGTTCTATCTCTTCCTACCCCTTCTCCTCCCCTTCCACCTCTTCCACCTCCTCCTCCATGTGGGTTCCCCCACTCATCCTCCTCCTCCGCCCTTTCCTCCCCTCCCTCCCCACCTCCCCCATACCCGTCCAAAAACGACCTTGGAAACCAGCTGCCCGAAAACTGGGGCAGCTGAAACGAACCAGCCACTCCCCCTCCCCCTCCCCCTTGCCTGCTCCCTTCCCTCCTCCCTCTGTTTCCCCTCCTGCTAGATCCCTCTCTTGCCCTCCCACCACCACCACCAGCACCAGCAGCAGAACCACCACCAGCAGTACCAGAACCACCACCACCAGTACCAGCAGCAGCAGAACGAGTAGCACCAGCACCGCCAGCAGCAGCCGCCTGTATTCCCTTGGAACCACTCTGTACCCCTTGCAAACCACTCTGCATCCCCTCACTCTCCGCATACGCCTGAGAAATAGAGATACGGCAGTGAGCCACCAGCCAGTGCCACAGCCCTGTGAGAACCTCGCGAGTGAAGGCGAGGACGTTGAGGAGAGGGAGCACCCGCCCTGAGGACGCATGCACCGAGGAGAAGAGCGTGAGGAGGAGCGAGTAGAGGCGGCCGAAATCGCCCATGTCTAGCTGCTGCCGCCCTGCTGCTCCTCCTCCTCCTGCTCCTGCTGCTGCTGATCCTGATGCTGCTACTGCAGCAGGTTTCCCTCCCGATTCTGCTGCCTTTTCCGCACTTTTTTCGGCTTTAAGGGCTTCTTCTAGGACCCTCAGCACGTGCCACCGCTGACACAAAGGGGAAATATCCTCGTAAAAACACGGGTGCACCTGCCTACGCCCGCCTCTTCTTCCCCTCCCGTCCTCTTCCTCATCCTCCTCATCCTCCTCCTCCTCCTGCTGCTGCTCCCTTCTCTTTATCCCTTTCCCTCCTCTCTCCTCCCTCACCTCTTTCTCCTCATGGGCTATCACAGCAGCAGCTAGGGCGCAGAGGGCGTGGACATAGAGTGGCAAGTCCAGACCGGGTAGGAACAGCTCAGAGGAGAGTGAGGGAGAGGGAGGAGGAGGAGGAGAGGGTGGAGAGGGGGAAGGGGAGGAGGATGGAGAGGGGGAGGAGGAGAGGGAAGGGGGGGCGGTGGCGAGAGCAGAGACGTTTGCTAGAGCCCAGGCGGGAGGGGGGAGATGGGAGGTGAGCCGGTGGTATGGGTCTGGTGGCGAGGGGTGGGGGGAAGGAGCCTGGCGCTGCAAGAGAGGAGAGAGAGGGGCAGGTAAATAGCAGAGGGGAGGGAGGGAGAGGGGGAGAGGGGTCGGGGACACAAATGAGAGAGCAGCAGAGAGGGTAGCTAGGACCAGCCGGGAGGGGGGAGATGGGAGGTGAGTCGGTGGTATGGGTCGGGTCGCGAGGGGTGGGGGGAAGGAGCCTTGCGCTGCACGAGGGGATAGGAGGGGAAAGGCACAGAGCGGAAGAGAATCGGAGGGGCAATGGAGGGGCAGGCAGCAAAGAAGAAGGGTTGGGGCAACGGAGAAAATGATTACACCAGATAGGTGAGGAGGCACGGCTGGAGCACTGACAGATGGCGCAAGGCAGGGAGGAGGAGAGACGGACGGGGTTGTTTAATGGAGAAGGTAAACGATTCTGGCAGGCAGACAGGTGCATTATCGTAGATGGCTTGGAAGAACGATTCGTACCAGGCAGGAGAGGAGGCACGGTAGGAGCGGTGACAGATAGCGCAGGGAAGGGAGGAGGGGAGAAAGAGATTTAGTGGGCAAGGCCGAAGGTTCATGTAGAAAAGAGGAGAGGAGAGAAGGGTCGTACCAGGCAGGAGATAAGGCACGGTTGGAGCGCTGACAGATAGCGCAGGGAAGGGAGGAGGGGAAAGAGAGGCATAGTGGGCAAGGCCAGAAGTTAAGTTGAGGTAGAAAGGAAGAGAAGAGAGAATGATCGTACCAGGCAGGAGATAAGGCAGGGCTGGAGAGCTGACAGATGGCGCAGGGCAGGGAGGAGGGGGGATGGCAGGCGCCACGTCAGCAGTGGGATGGTGAGAATGTGGGCGGCAAACTGATCTGCTGCCAATGATGCCCATGCTGCATGCAAAGGAACGGAACATAGGGCATACAGACAAGGATGCGAGAGTAGACTTTTGAGATGCGTCCAAATTCAAATGTGGGCGGGCGGCAAACTGATCTGCTGCCAGAGAGGCCCACGCTGCATGGCAGGGAACGGAAAGTAGGGACGGTAGAACTGGGCAAGTAGACTTTTGAGACATCATATGACTCAAGTGTTGCCGGCAAACTGATCTGCTGCCAGAGAGGCCCACTCTGCATGGCAGGGAACGGAGCGACGGTAGAGACGGGCCGAGTAAACCAACAAATAAGAGGAGAAGGGACTGTTCAGGACACAGCTCTGTTGAAACAGGGGATGAATATACTCGAGGCACAATGAGACGAGGGAAGGAAAATGCGGTCCTTAGGAAAATGCGGTCCTTAGGAAAATGCGGTCCTTAGGAAAATGCGGTCCTTAGGAAAATAGCGGTGGGCAGGTAAACCAGGAGAGGAGGAGAACTAAAACGTATGACTTACCAGATGGCAGCTTCCCAGCAACTTCTTGCCCATCTTTCCTGCCCGAGAAAACAACGATAGGTCTGAGAGCCACCGTCATTGCAGCAGCGGTCAGCAAAAATATTTGCTGGGCAACCTGAGCTCCTCCCCCACCTCCTGGCCCCCCTCCCATCCCTCCTCCTTTCCCCTTCATTTCCCTCCACCCGTCCACGGGCGGGGCGGCGGAGTTTGTCAGTATGTGCATGCGCAGTGCAGGGTAGATCCCCGTGGCACCTGATGCAGTACCTGCCAACAGAGAAAGCACCCGAGCCTCTGCTGCTGCCAGGGTGCTTTCAGGGGAGGAGGAGCCAGTGACAGCTGACGATTTGAGGAAGCGCCACGTGGCAGTGTCACAGAGTGACACGTGGACACGCATGGCGAGAACAGTGAGTAGGAGGGAGGGTGCTGATGGGGTGGTGGTGGTGGTGGAGGGAGAGGGCGAGGCGGAAGAGGAGGAGGACGACGACGAAGAGGAGAAAAGGCTGAGGAGGGCACTGCAGAGGGACACGATTCTATGTGCCTGGTGCTGCCACATGGCACGCTGTGATTGGGTGCCGACGGCCAAGGAGCAGAAGTTGGTAGCAGGATCTGCATTGGGATGAACGAGAGAGGGTGAACCACAATTGCGAGAGGAGGGGGGAAGCGGAAGAACAGGCGAGCTTGAGAGGCCTAGGGGATCAACAAAAGAACAGGCGAGCTTGAGAGGCCTAGGGGATTAACAAAAGAACAGGCGAGCTTGAGAGGCCTAGGGGATCAACAGAAGAACAGGCGAGCTTGAGAGGCCTAGGGGATTAACAAAAGAACAGGCGAGCTTGAGAGGCCTAGGGGATTAACAAAAGAACAGGCGAGCTTGAGAGGCCTAGGGGATCAACAAAAGAACAGGCGAGCTTGAGAGGCCTAGGGGATCAACAGAAGAACAGGCGAGCTTGAGAGGCCTAGGGGATTAACAAAAGAACAGGCGAGCTTGAGAGGCCTAGGGGATTAACAAAAGAACAGGCGAGCTTGATTAAGTGGATTGGGACTGTTGAACCGACTGCTCCGAAAATCCCACTTACCTGGGAAACTTCAATAGCCCGACTCTTTAAGAGCCACACCAGCACTGACTGTAACTGTTCCACTTCCCTTCCTTCTCATCTCACCCTTTTTTTGACGGGCTTAAGCAATTGACACAAGACTAAACTCAAGCCCTTGCTTACCTGGGGAATCCAGACTTTTTAACAGCCACACCAGCACCGACTGTAACCGTTGCAGTTCCTTTCCTGCTCCCCCTCCCCCTGCCCCTCCCCCTGCCCCTGCCCCTGCCCCTGATCCTGCTCCGGTCCCTCCCCCTTCCCCTCTGCTTCCCCCTTCCCCCCCCTCCTCCCTCCCTCCAATTCTCCACTCCCTTTTCCGCGCATCCCACAGCAAGAACAGCACCGGCGCCAGAAGCTTCTGGGAAACTTCATCGGCTGTTAGAGGCGCTGGGGGCTGGCCCCCCACTGCTGCCATGCGGGAAGCATGCCACGTGTCCCACTCGGATTGGACGAGCTGGCGAGCGACGCAAGCTGCTTTCCTGCCACGCCACACACGCTGATGTGGGCAAACGGAATTACAGAATGGGTGGGTGAGTGGGAGGGTGGGCGAGTGAATGGGTGGGTGGGTTTGTGGGTGAGTAAGCGAGTGGGTGGGTGGGTAAGTGTGTGGTGCGAAACCATTTGATGGCAGATGTAGCGGCGTGCACGTAAGAGACAACCTGCCAGAAATGTGGACTTGAGCACCTGAAACGCCGACTGGATCACCTGAAACGCCGAATGGAGCACCTGAAGCGCCAATCTGGCGCCTGGCGCACCTGAATGAGCGCGGCGGAGGCCGCGGACTTGCGGGCCTTGCTGCGCGCCGCGCGCTCTTCCGCCACCTTGTTCAGTAGCGCGTTCCGCGACACCTCGCGCGCGCTCGCCCCGCGCAGCGACACCTGCGGAATCCGCCGGGGGAATAGGAGATAGGAATTCGCGACAGGAAAATAGTGAAATGAGAAATTCGAGAGATTCGACGGGGTAACAGGAGGGAGAGAGTCGAGCGTAACAGAACAGTCTGGCAGGGCGTTCCGCGATACGTCCGTTCCGCTCACTCCGCCAAGCGACACCAAGTGAAGATTTAGTCAAGCTCTTAACGACACGTGTCATGTCAGCATAGGGTCGATCTGGTACACCCAGTGACAGCACATGCCGGCAAACACTGCACGGCATGGAAGAAACGTAACGGTCGGACTCCCAGATGTAATGGATCCAAGGAAATCTAGCTCCTTCCTACTCCAACTGAGCAGCTCCGCGCTCACCTCGCGTCGCCCTCCGAATTGCATCCTGACCGTTGGACCGCTCCTGGCCTAGGTCGGCAAATTACGATACGGACTGGACTTGTCCTGAGTGTTGGTTGAGTAGGATGATTCCAGGACCCCCTGAGACTAAGTTAAGACAAGTTTTAGGAGACGGTGTAGCACACAGGAGGTCGTAACAATAGTCTCTTGGTACTCCCTGAGTTCTGAAGTCGTGAGTACGAATATTATAGCATGTTGAATGTCAGACTTTTTTGGAGGAATGCATTTGATTAGAACTGCTCCGATATCTGTTAATACTGGAGGACTGAGATCCAATCATGTAGTCATTACAATTTGAGTAACACCTATATCAATGTAGTGTACAAGGACTTCACGGGTGAACTGGGCTGCGTGACCGCGCTCGCTCCCCTGGCAGTCCATTTCGGTTCGGAAATGGGGTGAGTGACGGCAGCCTTTCAGCCAAGGGGAAGCTGCTATTTGCCAATCGGAAGCTTCTTTCGGGTGCCCAAGCCTGACGTCAGACCATAAAACCCTCATTATTGCCTATGTGTCGATCGTGGAATGTTGACATGGCAATATATGATTCGTGAAATTACTTCGCCGATTGGCTCTTCGGTTTCAGCAACCCGTAATGTTTTTCCAGGGCTGCCCTGACCACAAGTTCCCCCCCCCCAGCCCCCGTGCTCCACTCCCACACTAATCTTTTCCGCATTCTCCGCCAATTTCCCCCAACAGTCTCCGCCTCTCCCCCATCTTGCTATACATTTTCCACCAGTCAACCTCCAGACTCATCTCATATTCGCTCTCCGCTTTAGTCGGAGCTCTTTCTTTCCTCTCCTAAAGACCTGGTTTTCCCAGGCTCTCCGCATTCCACGGTTAGCGCGAGAATCTCTACTCCGTCGAGCTATCGGCTGCTTCTCTCTCTTTTAGCCGTCAAGACGAGCTAACCTAGAACCATCATGGCTCTTTCCTGCGGAAGCTGCACGCTCGGCAAGACCGCTGTGTCCGGTCTCTCTCTCAAAAATGACGCAACCCTCGCGTCCGCCAAGAGCGCCGTCGTCATGTCGCCCATGCCACGTGTCGAGAAGCTGAGCGCTGCCAGCAAGAAGGCCGCGCCTGTCGCTGTCAGCGTCCGGTCGCAAGCCGTCGCCACCGCGACCACGAAGCGCGGCGCGGAGGTGCAGTTCGACAGCAAGGTGTTCACCAAGGAGAAGATCAACCTCGCCGGCCGTGAGGAGGTAAATGATATGTGTGTTCTTTCTTCTCTTTAGGCTCCTCCAACCCGATATTGGGACGTCTTAAAAACGCAGAGGTGCAGTTCGAGAGCAATGTGTTCACCAAGGAGAAGATCAACCACGCCGGCCGTGAGGAGGTACACATTTTCGTTTTTACGTGCCGTTTTTGTCGATCGATATTGAGAAGTCGATTAACGCGGACGTGAAATTCGAGAGGAACGCTTCACAAAGGATAAACCTCGCCGTCCGCGAGGATTTCTTTTCAAGCTTCCACTATTCGATTCTGAGACGTTGAAACGGATGTTGCGGAAACGCGAAGTGGAGTTTGAAAGCATGGTGTTTTTCAATTAATAAAATAATACCTCTGAACGTTTTTTTCGCCTTCTCTTCATTGCCGTCGCTTTTGGGTTCACCCCCATAAAATAGTTCGCTCAAGAAATGTTCACATTGCGTCGGACCGATCGCATTATGCGGATTCCCGCGTGCGCATCCCTCGTTGGTGCGAGTATTTGTCGGTTGAGAGTAGCGGATTCATCCACTGAGCCCTGACTTCGCGGATTCCGCGATTTCCGATATCTCACGTGTCATTTTGAAGTGCTTTGTTAGCCAGGTCATCGGGCCATTCAATACCCACTGATCGCTGATGGCTGATAGTTGATTCCCGATCTCTTGCACCGCATTCTCTTCATATTGCCATTTTTCGCCGCGTCCTTCCCCCCATCAGTACATCGTGCGTGGTGGGCGCAACCTCTACCCGCTGCTCGCGGAGGCCTTCAAGGGCATCAAGAAGATCGGCGTTATCGGCTGGGGTTCGCAGGCAAGTGCAGATTCATATTTCTGTTTACCCTCATTTTTTGCGTAAAACGAGTAGCCTAAACCCTGTTCCTTGAACTTGCACGTCTTGGCGATTCAGCCTTTTTTTTGCGATCAAATCTCATTCGCAACAAGCACCCCTTTTTAATGTCCTGTATCGCGTATTTCACTACGAGCTCCGTCTACCACAGGCCTTTCGTCAGCCGCGAATCATCCCCTCATTGTGTCTATCCGTAGAACGTTCACCACTCCCTCGCTGATCCATATCGAGTTCCTCTGTGTCGCGTATTTTCCACACCGCAGGGTCCCG